ATTCCTTTGCGGGGCCTTGGGCCGGGGCGCTCGCTCCGGGCCTTCCGGCCGAAGTGGTTTCAAGAGCCGGAGCCGCGTGCGGGCGGCCACCGCCTCAGCCGCCGCAGGTGCTGACGATGGACACTGGCGTCTGACCTCCCTGCAGCTGGAGAAGCGGCCTCAGTTCTCTCCTGCCCCGCAGTGAGCCGGGAGGACGCTTGGGGGGGGGGGGGACCCTGGAGGTGACACGTCGGCTCCCTAGGAAAAGCAGCGAGGCCCGTCGGGCTCAGGGCCAAGGACGCCCCTGTGGGCGGTGGGCGCCCCCGGCACGGCTCAGCGGCCCAGGCGCCCGACCGCCGGTCTGTCCACAGCCGCCCACCTGCCCTGGACCCCGCGGCTTGTCAGGTCCCTGGACACACACCACAGACCACCCAGCAAGCCCCAGCCTCACGCGGCGCTGACGTTGGGGGGTGCGGGGCGCAGAGCAAAGGCCACCCCGCCGCACCCCGGGCCCTAGCTGGCGCCACCTCGCAGCCCCAGCTCAGCCCTGGCCCAGAGAGAAGGGGCTGGCCAGGCCCCGGCGTGGGCATCTGCGGTTTCCACCTAGTTCAGCGGCCACGTGGGGGGGTCAGGGAGCCTGGGGGGGCGAGACCGTTCAGTCCACTCGCGACTCGCTGACCGACGCGGACAGTCGGGGAAGGGGCTGCCCACCTCCTCCCGCTGCCTGGCTCACCTGCACAGGGCCACGCCCCGCCTGGGCTGCCCAGGAGGCCGCCTCGGCGCCCAGGCACAGGCCACAGCGTCGCCACCAGGCGGGGACACACCGCGGCCTCTGGGGGCCGCTACAGCGCCGGCGGCAGCTTCTGGGGTGAGGGCCGGGGCTCTGCGGCGGGCGGAGGGACAGCCCTCCCTGCATGGGCTCTCGCGGGACCACGCGACGCCGCTGACCCCCCAACAGCCTGCTGGCCCCCCCAGGACCGAGCCCCAGGGCCACTCTGCCGAGGCGGGTGCTCCGAGCCTGCGCGCCCTGCTGCCAGCCCAAACCGTCGCGGTCAGCGCTGGCCGCTTGGCCTGGAGTGAGCGTGAGGCAGCTTGCGCGGGCCGAGCGCCTGGCGCAGAGCCGGCTCGGAGGCCCCAGGCGGGCGGAGCCGGTGCCCTGGGGGTGACCACGCCACTGCCCGCCCTCCGGGCTGCCCGACAGGCTTCCGGGCCTCTCCCCTTCCCAGCGGCGAGGGGCAGGTGGCGGCTGGCCACGGGCCCCCGCCTACGGCGCACCTGCCTGCCCTGAAGCAGCAGTGGCAGGTGCTGAGCACGGGCCCGCTCCGTGTGGGCAGGCGGCCTCCTCCCTGCCGGCCCGCCGACCGCAGGGTCTGCACACCGGGACGGAAAACGGGGCCTGAAAGCCTCGCCACTGCGGCAGGGGCGCCCCACCAGCCGCCCCAGCCC